AAAAAATAAATAAACAAACATATTCACAATTAGTTACTCTGATGAAAAACTTGATACTCTGACCACTATTATGCTAGCAGTCAGTTTCTACACTTTGATTTATATTATAGTTTCTTTACTATTTTATTCAGTAAATCATTAGTTATTGGGTGTATTAACATTAGTTACTCTGATGAAAAACTTGATACTCTGACCACTATTATGCTAGCAGTCAGTTTCTACACTTTGATTTATATTATAGTTTCTTTACTATTTTATTCAGTAAATCATTAGTTATTGGGTGTATTAACAAATGGAATCCTCCCTTCTATGCTGTATCCATATATGCATACCCTTATACTTTGGGATCCAGCTTACCAGCAAAGATCAATAGTTCCCTTCTCCTCTTAACCATTTAGCACATTCCAGGATAACTCCTGCTACTTTACATTTTTCTTTTCCCTCTCTAACCACATTCCAGTCCCACAGATTTGGTATTCTCTGATTTAAAAATAATAGGTAAAGATATACTGTATATTGAAAAATCTATCTCAAAATTCTCTTTTGACAATCAACTGTTCAGAGTACAGGTTTGTTTACCCTAGGGGTAGGTTAGATCAAACTGATTGAAAATATAATGATGCTCTTATATTTTGAGAAAGTGTGAAATTGTATGTATTTATGAAAAAATTTACTGATATATTTTCATATTTAATTTTTTAATTTAATTTAGGATTTGCTTTCCCATATGCTACATATGGACCCACATCAGCGGTACACTACAGAACAAGTATTAAAACACTCATGGATAACCCAGAGAGACCAGCTGCCAAATGATCAGCCAAATAGAAATGGTACATCATATGTCATTAAGGTAAAATATACTTTTATGTATCTTCTAAATGCTTGATACTTTATAAAGCCATTGCATGCCATTCACTCATGACCACTTACGTAATCACTTTAAAGTATCTTTATTTTTTAAAGATTATTTATAGTTTTGTTTTGTTCTACTTATTTTTAAATAATAGCCATAGTCTCTTCTTTATTTTGCCTATAGCCTTTCTGATGATAAATACAAGTTTCTTGATTATATTTGCTTAGCTCTTAGAAAAAACTAGGGCTAGGAGTAGATTAAATGCAAATCTCATATGGAAACAAAAGATTGCTATTGGTTTCTAAATTAATAACCACCGGTGCATGTTCCTATATCTATAGACATTGAACCTAGATTTTAAATTTTAGTAATTTATACATTCATCTCTTTTTGGATACTTAGGTTGCTTCCATGTCTTGACTATTGTGAATAATGCTGCAGGGAACAAGGTAGCACAGATAACTCTTTGATGATAAAGATGTTGTGATATACACACATACAATAGAATATTATTCAGCTTTAAAAAAGGAAATCCTGCCATTTACAACAATATGCATGGTGTACCTGGAAGACATGATATTAAGTGAAATAAGCCAGAAATAGAAATACAAAAGCTACATGATCTCTTGTATGTGTGGAATCTAAAAAAGTCAAATATGTAGAAGCATAAAGTAGAATGGTGATTTCTAGGGTGGAAGGGCAAATGGGGAGATGTTGGCCAAAGTATATAACATTGAAGTTATGCAGGAAGAATAACTCTAGAGATCTAATGTACAGCATAATAGTACCATATTTAATACTGAAATTTGCTAAGAGTAGATTTCAGATACTCTCATCACACACACACACACACACACACACACACACACACACACACACACAATAACTATACTGGTATGAGGATATGCTGATTAGCCTGACTGTAGTAATCTTTTACTATGTATTTAAGAATATTATGTTTATATACAATAATAAGTACAATTCCTATTAAAAATAAAATTCATTTATTTATTTTTAGTTTATCGTTGTTGTTGAAAATATTACATATGTCCCCCTTCCCCCCCCCTTTGACCCCTTTCTCGCTGCCCCAGTCCCCTCTCCAGGCCTTCACCACATTATTGTCTGTGTCCATGGGTTCTGCATATATGTACATAAGTTTTTTGGTTAATCTCTTCCTGCCCGCCCTTTCCTCTGAGATTAAAAAAAAAAAGTAAAAACTTGTAAAACCAAATTAAATTAGTTATGAAAGACTGATACAATGATATATTGTAAAACACATTGTTATTGAAATAAGAAATATATAAGTAATCAGGTATTAATTCATCAAAGGAGCATCAATGTACAGGTCAAATATTTTCAGTTATTTTCCTAGGCGCAAAAAAAAAAAAATCTCTTATGATATACTTGGAAGTTTTGTTTTTTTTTTTTTCACCTTCAGAGATTATGGCTCAGTTTGTGATATTTCTCATTATTTTAGGGAGCAGTGGTTGCCACATATTCAGCACTGACTCACAAGACCTTCCAACCAGTCCTAGAGCCTGTTGCTGCCTCAAGCTTAGCTCAGCGACGGAGCATGAAAAAGAAGACTTCAACTGGCTTGTAAGATTTCCAGTCTTCCTCTGCCAAACTGGATGAAGAGAAAAGGCAAATGTGTAGCTTTTGCCTAATCTTATATCAAAGGCATTGTTTTCTGCTACATTACTTGAATATTCTGTTTAAGTCTTCTTATTTAGGGGCAAAGAAATTAAAAAATAAACATACACGGGTCCACAATACTCACAATATGTTGTTTTGCAGTACTGTCCAAGACTTATTTAAGTATATAAATGGTATCTACAAGGTCCTAACAGCTTCTCTGCACACTAACTTCTAAAGTTCCTTTTAAATAGTTACTTTAGTAGTTTTTCTGGTTTCATACAATAATAGTTTGGTGAATCATTACCAATAATCTAGATGCAAATATAATAGTATAATGCAAATCAATTTCAGTATTTTTTGACATAAGATCCTGAAGGATAGGCCTTTTTTATTTAAAAAAAAAAGAAAAACAAATTGAAGGTGATTTGTAGAAGATCATTATTGTGTACAACCAAAGGGCTCCATTCATTTGGTAGTAACTCCACTCTGTAATTACTAAAATGTAGATACAGTAGTTTGATGCCAGAGCAAAATTTATTTGTGCTAATATGTGAACGCCTGATATGGTTGGTGCCAAAGTTTTTACAGAAGAATTAAATCACAGATAATGTGGGCAGTCAGGCCTATAGATTATCCATAAGTGGCTTCATCTATAATAATAAAAGCATAATATGCTAATTAGACCAGACATCCTTCGGGATGAAGCTAGGACTGCGAGGGAAGCCCGGGTCCCGGGTGCCAGAGGGAAGCCGGTGCCAGCAACCCGGGGAAGGAAGGCTTACTCTTGCATGAATTTCGTGCATCAGGTCTCTAGTCTAGAAATAAAGGTTTCCAAAAGGCTTCTGTAAAGTTCACTTCTGATGGAATTGTACTACAAAAGAAGAATTTTTAGTCAAAGGCTTTGTATTGGTGTTGTGACCTAAGCCTTTGAAAATAAAGTACATGGTGTTCATACTACCTTGGTTTTATGTAAGCTGACTTTCAAGTAAACCAGTTGGATTTAGTCATCATGTGCCCCTCCTCCTTATCATGAATTGCACTGTTGTTTTTTGGACTTCCATGTGCTTTGAATTACAGTGTATCATAATAGTATACCTTGAATTCTATGGAATATAGTTGAAATTTTACTGTAGTGAACTTGTGAGCTTAGCACAGATGATATAGTATAATGCATATCAGTAAATTTTAGACAATGCTACATAATAGTTATACTTCAAGAAGATAAACTGGCATTTTAAATAGGGAGTAATATGAATGATCTGCATAAAATTTGAACACATTTTAAAATTATAGAAGAAATCTAGCCAAATTGGTCTGGTCTTATTAAATTTTATGATTCAGAATCACTGTGTATTAAGTATTGTTTTCTCTAAATGATACAATTTTTAAGAATCTTTTTGTGTTGTTGAATAAAATACTACTACTACTACTACTGATAGAAAGAACACATGAATGTAAACTGGAGGATATTACAGTTTTGTTTAATGAATATAAGTGAACTACTTGTGTATGCTAGGTGTACTGTTTGCTGTGTATTTTATTTTGCTTAGTTCAGAGAGAGAGTTGATTTCTAATTGCTGAAGTATATAAATTAACCTAGGAGACATAACTTTGGTATTTAATAAAAGAAACTATACATATTATCTTTACAATGTGATATATATTCCATGCACAAAGATGTTTCTTGGGTGTGGCGTATAAAAGTATGTATATTTTGAGGTGTCTTTTTCCAATAATTGAAAGACATTAAAGAACATCTAATGTCACATGGAAAATAGTGCTTAGAAATAGACTGGTATCACATCTTGTAGACTTTTATACTCTAATTTGTTTTCTTTCTTTCCTTATTTTGCTTTATTACTAGAAGCAATTGTATGTGACAATTTCTGTCCATATATTCAGACTTATTTTCCTATTGCCATTTTGTTCTTTGTGCTTGTATGCCTTCCTATCAAAACTGATAGGACAAACTCAGAGATATGATTTTCATGATGAACTTTTGAGAGCAGGGATATTATTTCCATGTCTACTTTTCTAGTATAAAATTAGGATAAGTGAAATTGGAAAATGAAAAATAATAAAACAATAACTTTCAGTCTTTCCATAATCAATCGTTTTTAAAAAGTAGATGATCTTAACTAATTTACCAATGAATTTGTACAGAAGGGTCATGCCATACAGTTTTTTATTAAAGGAACTCAATCAAAATTAAGCAGTGAACAGCATGATTCCTCATCATTCATTGAGAATTGACAATGTGTAAAAAATACAGATATGCTAGTGGATTTTTTCTATAATTCTGCAAGAGTTTTCTGCTGGAAAATTCAAACATGGTAGCTTAAGAGTAGTAGGGAGCAACCTTATAAGGGAAAGCTTCAAACTATACCCTCATTTTGTAGAAGGAACCCAGTTAAGGATGCCTAATCATGTGTCCATTTGGCTAGAACTCTAAAGCAACAAATGCAGATGGGAATGGAACGTTTTTAATGGGGCTTCTATAAGTGCTTAAGCAGTAAAACATATTTTTATAAAACTTTACAGTACTGTAGTTTCTAATGAATTCATGAACAATGATTTTGCATTGCTTTTCTTTCTAGCTGATGCTTCTTGGTAGTATTTAATGATAGCACAGTTTGGGATTGTTATTATTATCTGGAAGGGAGAGAACATTTTTTTCTCAAAGGGAAAACACCAATTTTACCAAGATAAACTAACTATATAATGTCCTAAAGCACATAGTATGAATAAACTCAGGAAACCAATTGCAAGAAAATTAAAATAGTAGTGCTAGAGATGGTGATTTTGTGGGGAAATAAAGATTTCAGTTCTTTTATGAAAAATGAACTTTAACCTATTTTGTTAGACCCAGTATTACCTAAACTGATTTTTATAATTTCTTGCCTTTGGTAATTAAACATAGTAAAACATTTTTATAGTATCTTTTGTTAGCCCAAAGGGATTTCATATGTGTAGTCAACCCACAAACTTAAGAACAGATGCTTAGTGTTTATTAAAGCATCATGCTGAAATACAGAAAACAAAACAAAACAAACAAAAAACATCATGCTGAAATAGTGCTGACCACTTATACACTTATTTATATTGATTGAATAGTATTTTCCTGACAACAAGAGACCCTTCATATCTGAAGAAGAAGAACCACTTACCTTGGCCCTAAGGTTAACTAGAAAACTGAGGCTTTATATTAGGCAAAGTATGTCTTTGGCATTCTCTACATTTTCTTTCTCTAGCCTTCCAGCCCCTGTGTGCTATCTTATTTGATTACCTCACAGAGGACTCCATGATTAAATTATTTCTAAAAGATTTTGTGCCCCAAAATGACCTCACACCCTTCTCCTTACTCAAATCAGAACTTCCATTACCACAGAGCAGCTATTTTCATTGAATTAATTCACATTTTTCTGTCAGTGGTTAGTGGATAATTGGCATTTTTCAAGAAAGATGTCCATTAATCAAATGAGTTTCTACTTGCTGGATTTTTAGGCAATTGAACCAGATGAGAATAATTTAAAATTCACTTATTATCAGGGAAGATATTTTTGGGCAAGGAATTTACTCAGTATGCCGCAAGGCCAGATTATCATATAATTTTCTTCCTTTCCACTTCTCAACTTACATTTTCTTTTAAAACCTTCCATGCTTTTTAATAACAATGAAATTTACAATGAACTTCTATGACAGAATGGTGTGGAGGGAAGCAGTTGTTGTCAAGCCCATATTTATCTGTAGTCTTGTTTCTCATAGTATGTGATCTATAATATAATGAGTCTCCTCCTGCTCCCAGGCTCCTATTCTTATTGTATTTATAGAGAAAAAGAGAGCACAGAAAGGATGAAGGCAAACTGTCAGTGGGGACAAAATATCTGGATCCTTTGTCTAGATTTCAGCACACAGAGATCCTATTAACATAATGTTATGTCTGAACAACAATGCAAGGCATATTAAGTATAGATTGGTCAATTGCAATTAAATTTTTAGAACAATTTCTTACATTTATCAGCTTATTCAGGTAATTCTGGCATGTATCTCAAAATGAATGATTGCTGAAATTAATAGAACAATCCAGAAGTGTGTTTCCTGCATCCCTATGCAAGGCTGCAGTGGCATTGATAGTGGTTATTCACAAATACATTTTACTCATGGATTCAATATTCCTGGGTTTAGTCTTACAATATAGTGAAGTCCAACATATGATTTTAATAAAATGATAATGCTTGATCACTGAAAATTCAAGTTGGTTGCTAATAGTTGAAGGTATAGTCACTCTTAAATAATAGGTATTAGTTTCTTTGAACTATGAAGAGAAACAGAAAGTAAAAGTATTTTTAGAAGACAGATATTCAAGCTTACTTAGTTATATTGTAATGCACAAAGTATGTACCTTTTAGTTTGTTGACCAGCAAGAAATCTTTGCTAAATGCATATATATATATATATATATATGATTGCCCCAAATTAGGATTTGCTTTATATTCACATTTCTAAACCTTGGACAATAGAGTGTCTGTTTTGCTTTCATTCTATTTGTCTAATTATGTAAATTAATCTACTCTTCAAAAGGTATTTATTAAGCACATAATTTTATATGGGACAGTTCTAGAGAATGTACTAAGTGCTTTAGTTTCTTAATAAATTGTCATAATGTGACCAATTAGATTTATTTGCTTTTTTTCTTTTGTATTAACTAATATTGCTCAGGTCACATTTGAGTTTTCAAACTCACTCTCTCTGAAATTGAGACAATGTGTAGCAAAAAATAAGTTTGTGTTTTAATACGATAACAAGAAATTCAACATCACAAAAGCATTCTAACGATAAATATCCATTCTTAAAGTTATATAAGAAATCCTAATTAAATATTGAATTGCCAGCATGGTTTGGAAATGAGAATTTATCTTGCATTAAATTCTACAGTACAAAAAAGGAGAATGAGGTGTTTCTGTGTTTAATTTTTTAAAAACCGTATGTAGTGTTCGTTAACATCGTGTTTATGCAGAGTGACTATTTTGCTGTAGCCACCATTAAAAAACAAACAAAAAACATGATCTTGGCAACACTTCCCAAGCACTTCAGGATTCCTATACTTATTTTCTGATATAGAAAATATGATATTCACTGGCATTTTATTGAACTTCTTAAAACAGAAATGGCATTAATTAGATGTGTAAATTTGATTCACATGTACTTAAAATCTTTAATGCGGATATTGAAAGAGGCGGTCACCAATGTTCAAACAACTGTATT